AATTGAATCCCACCATTGCACCCACAGATTTAGCAACTTTTTAAAATACTGTATTACAGAACCCATTCTGTTTCTTCTTTTTAAAAAGATTTTGATCAGGCATTTCTATAAGCAGAGTATTCCATTTGTCTTCCTCTATGCTTTCTTTCTGTTCTTCTTTTCCAATGGACATGCTATGACAGAGTGCCTTGTATGGATTATTTATCATATGTCTCTAAATATTTCATTAGACTCAATTGCATCACAGCGTTGTGGCTATGTATGATGATCCTTCTCCCTGCATCATCTTTAGGTGCAGAGCAGTGGTGGGATTCAATTTTTTTACTACTGGTTCTGTGGGCATGGCTTGATGGGCGTGGCAGGGAAAGGATACTGTAAAATCTCCAGTCAGAGGTGGTATTTGCCGGTTCTCCGAACAACTCAAAATGTCCGCTTCCAGTTCGCCAGAACTGGTCAGAACCTGCTGAATACCAACTCTGGTGCAGAGGCCATTTACTTCTCTTGTTTGGGATATTTGCTCAAACCTCTCTCTTGTTGTGCAACCTCTCTCAAACTTCTCTCTTTTGAAGTGCACAGAAGAGCAACTAAGATGATTAAGGGCATGGAGAATAAAACATGTGAACAATGGTTACAGGAACTAGATATGGCTAGTCTAGAAAAAAAGAAGGATTAGGGGTGACATAATAGCAGTATGCCAGTATTTGAGAGGCTATCACAAAGAATTTATTTTCTAAAGCACCAGAAGGCAAAACAAGAAACAAAGGATGGAAACAATCAAGGCAAAAAGCAACCTGGAATTAAGGAGAAACTTCCCAAGAGTGAGAACAATTAACCAGTGCCTTCAGCTTGCCTTCAGAAGTTGTGGGTGCTCCATCACTGGAAGCTTTTAAGAAGAGACTGGACAGCCACTTGTCTCAAATTGTACAGGGTGTCCTGCTTAAGCAAGAGGTTGGAATTGAAAATCTCCAAGGTCCCTTCCTGCTCTATTCTGATTGATTAATTGATTGATTGTCAAGTGTTCTCCTTTTGATTATAAATCTGGTGTCCTAAAGCATCTGATTTTCTAATTACAAGAATGATGGAGGATTTTCTTTCTTTCTAAAACAAACAAATAACCACTACATAGTAGTGATGCAAGTGGAAAAAACACGAACACACCCAGGTTTCCAATTCTTCTTTCAGTGTCATTGAGCTATTAAGAAGTCAGACGGTAATGTCACTGAGCAATTAAAAAAAAATCATATGGTAAGAAGCTAGGCAAATGCACCGGGAAAGAAAGAATGATATAGAGAAAATAAAATCTTCCTGTTTCTAGGTGCCACAAGGAGTGAACTAATGCAAACAGACATGGACAGGTGAAGGTATGCTTATTGCAGGAAACAAATGAATGGATCTATGCAGTGTGCAAGAACCTTATTTTAAAATGTGAGAATCCTACTGCTACCTTCACCCCAAGGGACAAATAAAATACATCTTAAAAAAGAAATGGATAAATTATATAATATTTTAAAAAAATGGAGAGCTATCTAGGGAGGGAATAAATCATTTTTATTCACCACTGAAGTCTACAGCCCAGCCACACGACACTAGACTGTCTCATTCTTGAGCATTACTACTTGCATCATTTTCATTTGATTTCAGCAGTGGAACTGTTCCTGAGAGGTCTCCATTCACAAAAAATATATATCAGTCCAATTCTTTCTGTTTCATAAATAATTGGCTGTCTCTCTGTTGACAACTTATTTTATGGGATACTATTTCTATGCAAGCTTTTTGGTAAATATTTTGCTCTCTCCTAGTTCCTTCATACATTGTTTTTAATTAACCTTTTGGGCAGTGACTCCAGAATCTTCTGGGGCCGTTTTTGACTGTGAACTCAACAGAGCATTTCCTGTAACAACAACATAGATTAGTGATCTTATTAATGGCCAATTGTATCATCCTGGGAATAAAATGAATAATGTGACCTTGTGTTTTACAGAAATGTTTCTGACATTCAGAAAATGGAATGTGTTCATCACAGGTAACCATAGTAATTTGACCATTGGTTATTTCTTGTGTATGATAATTCCTGAATTCTGGTAATAATAAAAACAGTGGTCTTTGTGATAGAAATGCTTGATTATTCATCGAAGACACACCCATCGGGGAACATTCAGTGTCCTTACAACACTGCTCTAGATTTTTTTCCCAATCAAATGTGATGGGATTAACACTTGTTTCACAGAAGGTTGCATCATATTTTTAAAAGAATAAACATTTTTAAAATACAGCTGTTAAACATTTGTTCAAGTCTGAAAAATTTCCCATTCCTTTTTATTCATTTATTTATGTTTACCTTTCTACTACTATAATTTCAGTCAAAAAAGGTCCCACAATGCTTTCTGGAGCAATCAAAAGACAAGATTGTATAATGTAATAATGGGAAAAAGCAAACTGGCTTCCCAAATAAGAGGCATTTAATTTTAAAACTGCAAAGTTATTACAGAGCATAATGCATATCTGAGATACAAACAGGGCAGGTTTCCTTCCTACATTTCCAGATTTAAATAACAGCAACAAACATTGTGAAGTAAATATTCGGCTGTTGTGCATGAGCTGTCTTTAAAGGCTGAATCTACCACTAGACAGTTATATATTAACAAATTGATCCATTCATTTGGAAATATATTCTTTTTAAACTTTTCTATATTAGTTTTCCATTTTAATGAAGTAACTTCCATCTTAGAGGCAGAAGAAGTTAAACTCATATGGATCAAAAACTTTGCATAACAAACCCCTACTTTCCAAGGCAAAAATTAAGGTTAGTTAGGGCTAGGTCTACAATTAGGGTTAAGGTTGTTTTGTCTTCCCTGAGCAATACAAGTCCTTTTTAGAAGGGGGAATTATTTTGTATTTTCTAGAGATCAGATTCTATCCTTGCAATCTGTGAATAAGTTGCCTATCTGGCTCACGTGTGAAATAGGTTGCTAATGAAATATTTCTTTCTTTTTCATTGATCATCTTCAATGAATAGGCTTTTTTAGTTTTATTTCCTGGATTTCTGTTCAAGGTTCTGATAAGACCTCTGCACCCTCTTCTTTAATACATTAACAATAAACCTTATGTTCAGCTCTGCCCACTTCCTTCTGCCCCACCACTTGGTGCCATCTACTTTGGCCTTGCCATTATGTTCTTAAATGTCTTTGTAAATGCAAAAAAATAATAATACTTGTGTGAACACACTTCCTATCCATATATTCAAAAACATCTTTTGTATTCTGATATCTGGAAAACATCTATTTAGAGTAGAGTTTCTTACTCTAAATTCAATAGCATCACACTAAACTTTGTATTATTTTTGTATAAAAGCAACTGTTTCCATAGGAACACAAGCTTTCCCCCCTCTGTCAAGAATGAGATCATATTACACAAGGGGGATGCATAAAGGTCACACAATCCATTAAAATTATGAAGCAAAACTTGATAATGCTTTAGTCTGTAATTGCCTGGTTAAACTTAGGGGTAAGGCACCCCAAAATGAGGCCTGCACAAATGCAGAAATTATAATTACCCAACATGATAACTTCCAGGTATGCTGGCTTTCACCTATACTGGACCCCAGAACTGATGGCTAGAGATTTAAAAAGTACAGATTTGTGCATCTCTCTCTCTCTCTCCTTCCCCACCCTCTCCTTCCCTCTCTCTCTCTCTACACACACACACACACACACACACACACACAGAGAGAGAGAGAGAGAGAGAGAGAGAGAGAGAGGCACATACACATAGACACTCATAAGAGAGATAGAGGGAGAGACAGATTGTATATAAAAGCAGTAATATTTGTTGATAGTGATGTTCCTGGAATGGGAAAAGAGCAAACAGCTTCTCTTGATGTTATCTGGAACTAGGGTGTGGCCTGAAAGGTGTATGAATTGTAGAAAAAAAACAACCCAAATATTGCAAAATCATCATCAGACTCCAATGTTTTTTCAGCACAAAAACCTAAGGCCAACAGAGATGCCATTCTGGAGAGAGGCCATGCTGGAACATCTCATCATATAATATGCAATTCCTTTTATCTTGCTTGAACTTATACTTATCCCTACCAAGTACAAGGCCAGAATGGGACAATCCTGATGTTCAGGGATAATTATTCATATTTCTTTCCTTCTTCCCTTCCCTTGAAAATAATGATGGTACCAGAGGTGGTATTCATCAGGTTCTGACCAGTTCTGGAGAACCAATATTGGAAATTTTGAGTAGTTTGGAGAATCGGCAAATACCACCTCTGACTGGAGATTTTACATATCCTTCCCCTGCCACGCCCACAGAACTGGTAGTAAAAATTTTTTGAATCCCATCACTGGATGGTACTCACATATATGCAACCAACTGTCCATGACAGAAATCAGCATATCCCACCCTTACATCAAGTTCAAATTCATAAGAATTTGAAAGGTCCATGAATGGATCTTTGCCAAGTCCCCATCCCTCAGTTTAATCTGCCTCATAAGATTGTCATAAAACTGAACTGAAGTAAACCCATGTATGGTTCCCTGAGCTTCCTGGAGGAAAGGTAAGGTTATTTAGACAGTAGTAAGGAGTAGTAAGGAAATCTGACATCACAACAAGCAGCCTTGCATGGGTCTAGGGAAACTTGGTGTGGCCAGCTCACGTGGTCAGCTCACCACTGCCAGCTCACCATCACCAAGTCACCTCTGCTAACTCACAGAGTGGAAAAAGGAACTGCATGAATATCAAAGGAACATTTCAATGTCTACCTTTGAATATGTGTACATTGTGGTTAATAGCAGATGCAGCAGAATGCTGTTGGGGAGGTTCCAGAACAGTGGTGACTTTCACTATTGCTAATATCAATGCCAGATGAGCTGACAATGATATTAACCCACTGCTGGGCAGGCAGGCTAGATGTTTCTAAAATCAATGTATTTTAGAATGTATTCTAAACCATTGCATGGCTTTGATTGCATGGCTTTGATGCAGTTACTACATTGTTCTGTTTGCCAGTCTTCTTAAATGATTTGTTTTTCATTGGCTGAAAGAAAATTTTGCTCACCATGTACTTATTTTAGCTATTCCAGGTCATAAAATTATTTGAGGGAATTGAAAGTAGCATTCATAGAGTTACCAAATGGTTTCAGAGCAACTATTGACCTAATTTTTACATGTTCAAACTCAAGTTTGTCTGCTGAAAGATGTCTCCAGATCAGTGGGACAATTCTTCAGAAAGGAAAAATAGAAGTTTGTAATGACCCTTTGACTCTGAACACACAGAAACACAAGAGCATGTGCTTCTCTTATGCCTGTACAGGAAAGACATTCACATTAGCCTCATTTTACCCCGGGGAGCAGCACTCAAAATCCATGGGATGATGCCATAAACTAGACTTAATGAGCACCTAATTTGCCATATTAGAGTGCTCTGTAATTTGATATAGTTTTTCACATATTAACCTTTTATGCTTCCCTGCACCTATTTAATGTTCCCATCCTTTCTTTTAGATTTTTGTAGACTTTTAGATATAGTTTCTATTTTATTATCTCGTAACTTATAGATAAATAGATAGATAGATAGATAGATAGATAGATAGATAGACAGACAGACAGACAGACAGACAGACAGATAGATGATAAAGAGAGAAAGAGCGAGAAATACTGATATAACTATATGCTTTTTAATTGACTGTACTCCATTTTAATTATGTCTATCTTGGACCATAATATAGGTTTGATATGATTTTTGGGGTAAATCTGATTATGAAAAATGTAAAGTATCAGGGAAGAAACAAAAGAATTGCAGATGAATCTACCCTGATATCTATAGCCTCTTACCAAGAGAATTTCAGCTGCTAGATTCAAACATTGAACTATTCCCAAATCTGCTTAATTAATTCTGTTCTACTGCTAAGTAAGATTGAGAACATCTCTATCCCCTTGAGTTGGCTCAGGTATTTCCTTTTCTCTCCCTCCCCCACCCAATCATCATAATACTTTATTAATTTTCTAATCGGCTGCAATTGTCTGTGGTGTTGAATAGCTTTACATCATCAGCGAAGAGAACGCAGTTGCTCTTGATATGATCACAGAGGTCATTTATGTAGAGTATGAAAAGAGTTGGTCCTAGAACACTGCCTTGGGGGACACCACTGTTGACAGGTACAGAATTTGATAGGATGCTCCCAATTTTGACCATTTGTTGTCTGTTTGACAGGTATGTTTCTATCCAGTTATGCAGGTGTCCAGAGATACCATAAGATTTTAGTTTTAGGAGTAGTTTGTTGTGTACCACTGAATTTCAAAGGCTTTACAGAAGTCTATGTAGATTGCATCTATTGCTTTGCCCTGATCGAGTTGTGTAGTCCATATGTTTTTGCAGTGTAAGAGTTGCAGATTACATGATAGTTTTTTCCTGAAACCAAATTGTTTATTAGAGAGTAGGTTGTTTGTTTCTAAGTGGAGGATGATGGATTAATTAATAATTGATTCCATGACTTTACAGGTGATACAGCATACGGAGATTGGTCTGTAATTTTCAACTAGGCTGGGGTCTCCCTTTTTGAAGATGGGGATGACCGTGGCTTGTGACCATAGTTTTGGCAAGGAGCTGGTCCTGAAAGATTTTTCAAAGATTATGCTTAGAGGTTCAGCTACGGCAGTGGATAGCTTTTTAAAGAAGTAGGCACATATTCCATCCGGTCCAATACATAGAGATGGTTTTAGATTGCGTGATGCTTTTTCAACATTGTCTTCTGTAAAATTGATATGTATTAGATCATTGTAGTTGTTCGTGGTTCGACTAGGAAATTATGGAGCAAAGTGTTCATTGTTATGATTAAAAATCCTGGACGTGAATGTATTTCTGTGATCCCCGCACATTGCAACTCAGCTTCCTCTGCTGGAAGTCCTCTTCAGCTAAAACTTCTGAGTAATAAGAAAAGAGACAGATTTTTTTCCCCTGCACTGGACTTGTTTGACATTCAGTCAGAGAGAAGTGTATTCAGAAGAACAGTTGGGATCAGGCTTTGTTGGTTCAAAGACACATTTTTATTCCATGCGATCAGGGATATTTAAAATTCTGAGAAGCCTGAGCAGAATTTTTATTCAAGCCTCCCCTCACTTCTGTGTCAAAATGTCATTTTTTGTCTTCCATGATTTTATCCACTGAATTATTCTGTAAAAGGGCATGTGCAGGGGAAACCCAAATATTAAAGTAACCTTTAGGATCATACAGTTAAACAAAATGTAACCCATCCTCTAATAATCTGAAATACAGAGCTTGGGTGCCCGGTCTAACTTCCTCTTGCTTGTATTTCATTTATTATTTATTTATTTAAAAGATGTCTATGGCTACCCATCTCACAACACACATATCTGGGTTGTTAACAACAGTGGATACAAACACAACAATATAAAAAGAAAATCAAGAAAAACTAGGCACCCAACCCATAACTATATCTATTCAGTGATTCAGTGCCTTAACTCCATCTTTACTTTCCCAGTGCATGCATGCAGTTTTGAGGAAATCCCAAAGTATTGTGAAATGCTTGGATTTTATATATTTGGATCTTATATCTTAAACCTTCTAAAATGAGATAACATACTAATTGCATAATTTTTCTTCCACAATATTCTTTCATATTGTTTTACTCTGGACTAAAAATCACTCTCACCAATATTTTCCACTATTTGTTGGATAGACTTATCTTGGAATAAATAAAATAGCACCATGAAAGTTCTTCTGTTTAAAATATTTATCTCCCTCATCCAGCCCTCTGAAGGTATCTCTTACTACATAGGGTTATTAGCATATTCTTTCAAGAAGCTCTCTCATTCATTTTTCATCTTTACAATTACTTGATGAAAGATTGGATTACTGAATATTAAAATTACATAGCTGGGTCTGGTTATGGAAAGCTTGGAAATAATGCTCATTGGAAGACCCAAATTAAGTCCTATTATATTGTAGAAAAATAGGAGGAGGAAGGAATATTAGAGATGTTTGCTACCTTGAGTTATTTATAAAAATAATAAAGATGGGATATAAATCAATAAATAAAAACCCTACATTAGCATGATATCCCTGATGACAGTCTACTGTCCATTAGCTAATTCCTGTTCTTTTTTATGAAGAAAACCTCCATTTTGCTTATTACTGATGTCAGTTTTCAATCTGTACAACTCATCTTGATTTCAGTGGCATTATTCCTGACATCTTTTTAAGGACTATCAGTGTTGGTGCTATGTAGTGAATAAGAAAAATGAGCCAAAGGACTGTGTTACCTTTCATTCGTTCCTTCTTCAACTATTAGCATACCAAATGAAGCTTTGATCTTATCTTTATAGTGGGGAGATAGTTAATTTTGTTGTAAAGGTATTTGCAGTAATTAATAATGTTATTATTACCACCATGTACAAGCAGAAGGGTTGCCTCTACAAAAGAAATCCCCTTGACTCTGCACTCTTGAACCACCATCCTCATGTTTGAGATGGAAATAGGAAAAAAAAAGTCTTCCAAGAGAGATAATTCAAATTGAAGTCAGCCCTGTCAAAGCAGAATCTACTACTATAAAGACCAAGGAATGTGCAAGTAGTTCCTTGGAACTTTTCTGGATAAGAAGAGGATAGGAGATTATCCACATCAGCTCCAGAGGGCCCCTGAGGATATTGCATGACAGTGGTATTCTGTGGATTTGAACAATGGGAGCACTGGGATTAGCCATTTTATTCGTATAACCAAGGTAGAGATTTTTAAAGGACACTAAGTCCACCAACCTCACTTTCTAATCACTTTTAGAAATTGCTCATTAACTATCAAAATATAATAATTATAACATTGATCATGTTTAAAGATTATTTGTAGCAATACTGGGATGGTGGTAGTGCATGCATTTGGCTCACTTTGATCTCTCAGGGGCCTTTAATAGCATTGAACATGATATCCTTCCTGATCAACATTGAGGGTTGGGGGTGAGGACACAGTGATGATCTGTGATATCTATGGCGAGAAGGGCTTTCAAACAAATCTAACTACTGAGCGAGTTGCATACATTCTTAGTTCAGGAGGCATTGCTGAATTAATGTGCAAGCTCCTAAGTGCAATTCAAGGGACTAGTTACCACCTAAAAAGCCTTTCACAGCATATGTCTGGACTTCTTGAAGGAGGGGCTTTCTTTAATTCATTCTGTTTTTTCTACAAGATCCAGCATGGTTGGCACAGTCTGAGATCTCTCTATAAAATAGCATTATCTGGTGGGATTTAGGAGGTGTGTCTTCTCTTATTATGGTGTCTGCCTGTTGGAACACTATACACCTCCAAATTCAGAAGGTCCTGATTGTGTGTAGTCTTCTGTAAAATTTTGCTTTTCTCCCAGGCATTTGGCTAGGGTGATGGGTGAACCTGCTTGTAACAATTTGAAATATAATGGTTTTCAGGCACTTATGTTACCTTTTATTTTGTTTGTGTTCTGGCTGTAATAATATATTAACTGCTAGAATTGCAAGTTACAATTTTTCAAATTGTGTCCATATAAATTGATTGAGTGATAGATTAAATAAATAAATACCTAGAGTGCTGTGTTTAAGAACTTTATAGAAGAAGCTGACTATGCAGAGAAATTTGACAGAAATCAAAAAGGCAATATTATATCAGTGTGTTCTAAAAAACAGAGTACAGAGTATCAAAGAAGAAAAAGCTTTATTTTCCTGATCCTTTTTAATACAGTAGATAAAATATTGTGAAATCTTCAATCTATTACTCTAGGGAGAGGAGGATGTGTACATTGCCTCCACCTTGAATCATCATTAGGATGCTTTCATGTAGTCCCTATTTTCACCATTCAAAGCCTCAAAAATCAATTCATACCACCCCACTGTCACAATTCTAAAATCTGCCATATTCTGAGTACCACCATAGATCCACAGAGCAAAAGTCCAGGAACCAGGCAGATGCTGACCCCATTAACTTAAGCAGCAGTGGAATTCAGCAGGTTCTGACCAGTTCTGAAGAACCAGTAGTGGAAATTTTAAGTAGTTCGGGGAACCGGCAAATACCACCTCTGACTGGAGATTTTACAGTATCCTTCCCCTGCCATGCCCACCAAGCCACGCCCACAGAACCAGCAGTAAAAACATTTGAATCCCACCACTGATTAAGGAAATGTGTGTGGAGGAGGAAGAAGAAGAGGAGGAGGAGGAAGAAGAGGAAGACTGACCATAGTTGGAGGCTTAAATTTCTTCCACCTCTCAATTAAAAAGACTGTTAAAAGAAATCCATGGTGCCACAAAGCCAAGAAGCCAGAAGGGATGAAATGAGAGTGCTTGCCAATTGGAAATGGCTGGCTTCCTGGCTTGAAGGCTCCAGCTTTTCAGCTGCATTCATAGCAATCCCTCCTGCACTGCAGCTGAACCAGAAATTGTCCTGCTGTACAAAAGCAATAACAAATTGTCATCAGGCAAAGCCAATAAAGAAGTGTCCCTAAATCAGTGTAAGGCCCTAAATCAGTGTAAGGCATAGAAATATGGGAGCCTTACCACAACACACACTCACATTTCTAGTTGTCTGCAGTTGTTTGTGCATATAATGTCATTTTTCAGGGTTCACAAAGTTTCTATAATAATAGGTTAATATACTATTTTCTTCTCAGTAAGAAAGAAAAAGGAACTGGGTGCAATTATCACTTGTGAATTAGCCACTGGCATGTTTTTTGAGCCTCTAACTTTGGAAAACCAGCTGTGCTAAGTAAGTGCAATGGGCTTGTGCAATGGGTGTACCTCGGATCTGTTCTCTATAAGATGTCTACTTGAAAAAGGTAAAGCTATGGAAATGGGTATGCTATGCAAACAAATCAGTTCTATGGGAGTAGTATACCAGTCATTTAACCCTCAAAATGACAAACACTTTTATTCATGAAAAGCTTCAACTTGATGAGTAAGTCCAAAATACATTTGCAAGCATCCAGGTTTTTCTTTCCTCTTTGTAATCGGGATTAGTGCTTTGATTGATTAATCATTGTGTCATTGGTATCAAGCTGGTTTAAAGTGCATTGTGTACTAAAAAGATAAAGGACAAACAGTTCAGGAACTTTGATATTTAAAAGTTAGATCCATTACAGTATATATATGTCTGACCATTATTTCTTCACCTATTATATTTTTTTTATTCTCCATATAAGCTATATTAAGATGTATAAGGCTCCTGGCTGCTCTTCCATCCAGGTACTAATCCAAGATAGTCCTGCTTAGCTTTCACAAGTTGTTCATGTCATCACAGACTCTGCTTGGGGATCATTTGGGGATTGCCCATGCAAAATATAGACAAGTTCAAACGTATCAACATATATTAATTGCCTTTGAGCTGAAAGGTGAGATTGTAGTTCTACAAAGACAACTAGAGAGCTTTCAACACACTGACATGCTTGCAATAGAGTAATAAACAATAAAAGGATCTAATGTATAAATTGCTTGAGTCAAAATGTTTAAGGAAATGATATATGTGGTGATATATGAAGGAACTGGAATAGCAAAAGGTGTTGGGAGAGCTACAGAAGAGTTAAAAGAATTGCAAGAGGGTGATGTGGAAAATACAAAGAGCTAATAAAAAGGGTGGTGGGGCAACTATAAAAATTAGGTTCTTCAGAATGGGGAAAATTGATGTGTTGAAGTAGTCAGAGAAGGAAAAGCCACATGCACACATACTTTATTTAAACAAAGAAGGAAAAATTGCCCTAACATTTGCATGACTTAAAATTAATTGGTTTTTCAGAAGTCAGTTTCACCTTCTCAATTTCTATTAAAGCGATAATATCTCCAGTGAGTTTGGTAACTAGTTATGTGATATACATGTGTACATAACGGTTGGCTGCATTGCTTCCTCTTCACTGTGAAAGAATGAGGACCAAGGGAAACATCACTCTATCACTCTTTGCTATGATGGGCTGGGTTCATTATCATAAATTCCCAAAGCTTAGCATTTTGCCCTGTGTTTCTTTGTGACTGTTCTGCCAGCTGTCTCTTTTTTAATGATGTAGGCTTAGATTTTATGTATATTGTCTACTGGGGGCATTAGAATTTCATACATTCTCAGCTGATATCAATAATATCTGCACAGATATGTCCTGCTTATGATACTTGGTTTTAAATCAGAGAACAGAAAATAAAACTGGGATGAGTGCAGTTATTGAGTGCCAATTGATTTCCTAGCTCTGTTATCACATACTTACCTCTGTCAATTATTAACACTGGCAGTTAGGACTTGATCGTTTATAAAATTTCATATATTGTATCCAGTCTTGTTAGCAGGATATGAAGTAAATCCTCAATGGCTGGGGAGTGCAAACCAAGAAATGGCATTCACCAGAAAGGTTTTTAGGTGAATGTACCCAAAAACAATTACATGGAGTCAGAAGTGAACATGAAGGTAGCCAGCAGATGCATCTTCTAAGAATCCATAAGTTCAGCAGCATAGTTGCATTCAAGTTTTGGAGAGAAGCTTTCTTCCCTTAACATTTTATTTGTATACATTTAAAAAAAATAAAATTAAACACACATTGTACTATCATGCTGTTGAACTTACAAATCCCTGAAAAGCATTTATGAGAAAACATTGCAAGAGGAAAAATCTATTTTAATCATCCACTTCATCATTTGGCAAAGAGACTTGTTTAAGAGACAAAAGATCAGAAGTCTGGAAGTAACTTTTCTGAATTTTATGAAAAAGCATAAGCTTTCATGAGCTATAATTCACTTCACAACTTGCACAGGGTGGCTAGACTGAAGGAGGATTTATATTGTGATGAGAAAGTGGAAGGTGAGAGGAAGATTTTCTTTTAACTCCTAATTATTGTAATAGTCCAACTACATTACTATCAGGAATATATAAAATTCCTATATCTGTAAGTCAAGGATAGATTTATTACAAAACTCGGGATGACTGGTAGATGGTGACAAGGAAATATAGAATTCTTTATTGCCATGCCATCTACTTCTCAGTTGAAATTATACAAATTAAAGGTATTCTATCCACGTAATTTATCATCAATGTGTTTTATAGAAATACTCATGCAATGTTTGCTCCAGCTAGGAAATCTACTAGATAACCAAACAAGAATTTCCAGCTACAAGTGGATGAGATATACAATTCTACCTTGTACCTTTCCAACTTTCCTCCTTTTCTTCCTCTAACATAATTCTATTTTTAATCTGTTACCTTTTTTCCTGTTTTGAATGCTTATCTTGCTTTGTCATGTGAATAACGTCTGTGTACAACATTGAAATGGTCTCTATTCTAGCCCATCTTTTTTTTTTTTTAGATTATAATTGGCAGTGCTGATCATTTGTTTGCTTTCCTTTCCTTGGTAAATATGCACATAAAGCTCCTGTAATGGTATGTGGGAAGACACTGGGAGATGTTGCTTAAGAAATGGTTATATAAGATGCACAGAGCCTGCAGCTGCACAGTGAACAGAGCAAGAAGCTCAAAAGAGCCTTCCTAAAGTGAAGGTGATGGTAGGAGAATTGTATTTACATACAGTACTTACAAGATTCTGTTAATGTAGCTTTATAATAAAGTAGATTTAGCTTATCTGGATGATTTTCCTGTCTGGTCTACCTGGTAGCATCTGCTCAAAGAGAAGGGAAAACCTTACTCAAATGGCCATAGGTACAGACTTACAACTAAGCATTTCTTCATTATTAAAATAACAAATAGCTTTTTCATTTCTGGCTATATTTCAATTCATTACTTCAGGGAATGTAAGGATTAGGTAAAAATAATGTAATACAAACCACTATTCAACAGTGAACAAGTAAAGGCAAATCTCATAAAAATAGGCAGATTGAGGTCAATTTTGTCTGGAATGGGAGGAGGAAATTTAACAACAACAAAAAAAAACCTCTTAATCCTTAGGATTGTGAGGATGGCCTTCACAAGTATTTTTGGGTCAGTTTGAACTTTTGGAATCCATTCTGCTTTAATGCTTTGTTTTCTCTACATTAAAATGCAAAACAAAAACTGGAAAAGGAAATATTTAAAATTATTATGCTCTGTGGAAAAAAGCAAAATTAAAAATAAAACAGTATTTTCAAGACTGTGCTTAGTAGTCTGCATTAAATTACTTTTAGTTACCAATTGGAAATTGACTACTTACTGAATAATTTGAGATGTATCAGAAAGATTTGGAACATTAAAAGCCAGCTCAAACTTATATTAAAACACTGTGTACATATCTGATGCGACAACCACATGACAATTCACATTTTGACTGCCCCCAAATCAATATTTAATATAACAGTGATTGCATACAACTTGTCAAGTAACCTGTTGATTATTCTACTTGGGGCCTGGATAGAATAGTCTTAAAGGATCCCTGCAAATGTTATTAATGTGGCCAACAGACTTTGGTTACCAGCTGTGAAGTAGCCACAACTTCCACCATAAAAAAAATGGAAGTCTGATCAAAATAACAGAATAATGTAAATCTGTGGAGGAAAAATAGTGCTATACAGAATGAGGGCGTAATAAAGTAAGGTCATGCTTTTAATTAACTTTAGAAAAAAGGCAATATGGCCAGGATATATTATAAATTCAGTCCATAAATTATATGAAAGTATATGACTATTATATGAAAATATTTTCTCAAGATAACCAGGGAAGAAAGCTATTCTCATTGCAGACTTCAGTTTCCCTGAAAGAATGTGGCAATATTCCCTGCTTAGACTATTATCTGTATGACATTGATTTTCCAAAGAAGTGAGATGTTTGGATTGTAACTTATCCATTGTTGTTGGCCAGTTTAACATCAGAGTTCATACATACATACATACATACATACATACATACATACATACATACACATGTATTACATACATACATATATAATACACCCACACTTACACACATAGCATGCACTCCTTTGATGTAAGGTTGACCAATAGCAACAAATTCTATTCGTCTACAGTTATTTCATTTCCTAAAATAATGTTAGTTTGTATTCTAATTTCTCATTCTTTTGTTTGTTTTTCTTTGCAGTTTTCCTGTTGATGGCTTCCTTGCGACCAAGGATTTTTTTTTGCCCTTTCCTTTAATTTGTTAATTTGTTATTAGGTGTAGAATTCAACTCCAATCTGGTCAGTGTTCCATAGGAAGTGCAAATTTCAGTCAATTTCCCGATGTTCAGTTTGTACATTTGTTAGGCAGCCTAATAGGTAGAATTTGG